TGATTAAAAAACAAAAGTTTAACTTACCTATCTGGGGCACCGATAACCTGATCAATTGAAATTAGGTATTATTTTTTCAACACATATTCGGTTCATTAGTGGTGTTAACTTCGATTGTAATTGAATGATTAATAAATGGGTTATTTCTCTTTATCTCTTGTTATAAACTCGGATTCCTTTAAGATACCAAATTCGCTACCTATCCTGGTTGGTCTTGAGACTTCACGTCTAATGGTGGACCTCCAGTTTATCAGATGTCGCCAGGCTGATTTGTACTTGGGAATGTTCTGCAGGTCTTCAGGAGTAAATATGGTTATTCTTAGAAAAGCAGCTGTTTGGAAACTTTTAAGGAGGTAAGCGGGTCATCTGAAGAGAACATGGTCGACAGTTTGGTCTTTCTGGTGACAATATAGGCAGGTAAGGTCATCTTTTGATATTTTTGCAGCATCGGCTTTAATAAAGTCGTATCCTGTGATGATTGTAGAGGAGGTGCCACAACATTTTATTTTGGATAGGATCGCAACGAGAATGTTTGGGGATGCAGCTATTCTCCTGAGATAACTTATGAAGTGATCTGTGACTCAGATTTCTTTCCAAAATTGGAGGAAATACATTTCGTTATGGTCTCGAACAAATTTTGTAATAGAATGTAATAGCGGCAGAATAAATGGATTCTTTATATCCTTATAAATTGATTTTTCATCGAATTGATTTCCGTTTATGATATTTTATAGTATTATATTCTTGATTTATTGAGAAATAAATTATTTCCATATTAGGTTCGTGATTGAGCATATAAAATCAAGACATAGCTCGATTCTATTTCCAGTTCGCGTTTGATTAATACATAGATCTTTTCTATATCCATGTGCGTTTGATCACTACATAGATTGTTTCTATATCCATGTAGGTTTGATCAATACATAGATCGATTCTATATCCATGTAGGTTTGATCAATACATAGATCGATTCTATATCCATGTAGGTTTGATCAATACATAGATCGATTCTATATCCATGTGCGTTTGATCAATACATAGATCGATTCCATATCCATGTACGTTTGATCCATACATAGTTCGATTCCATATCCATGTGCGTTTGATCAATACATAGATCGATTCTATATCCATGTGCGTTTGAGCAATACATAGATCCATTCTATGTCCATGTGCGTTTGATCAATACATAGATCGATTCTATGTCCATGTGCGTTTGATCAATACATAGTTCGATTCCATATCCATGTGCGTTTGATCAATACATAGATCGATTCTATGTCCATGTGCGTTTGATCAATACATAGTTCGATTCTATATCCATGTGCGTTTGATCAATACATAGATCGATTCTATGTCCATGTGCGTTTGATCAATACATAGATCGATTCTATATCCATGTAGGTTTGATCAATACATAGATCGATTCTATATCCATGTGCGTTTGATCAATACATAGATCGATTCTATGTCCATGTGCGTTTGATCAATACATAGATCGATTCTATATCCATGTGCGTTTGATCAATACATAGATCGATTCTATATCCATGTGCGTTTGATCAATACATAGATCGATTCTATATCCATGTGCGTTTGATCAATACATAGATCGATTCTATATCCATGTAGGTTTGATCAATACATAGATCGATTCTATATCCATGTAGGTTTGATCAATACATAGATCGATTCTATATCCATGTAGGTTTGTTCAATACATAGATCGATTCTATATCCATGTGCGTTTGATCAATACATAGATCGATTCTATATCCATGTGCGTTTGATCAATACATAGATCCATTCTATATCCATGTGCGTTTGATCAATACATAGATCGATTCTATATCCATGTGCGTTTGATCAATACATAGATCGATTCTATGTCCATGTGCGTTTTATCAATACATAGATCGATTCTATATCCATGTGCGTTTGATCAATACATAGTTCGATTCCATATCCATGTACGTTTGATCAATACATAGTTCGATTCCATATCCATGTGCGTTTGATCAATGCATAGTTCGATTCCATATCCATGTAGGTTTGATCAATACATAGATCGATTATATATCCATGCGCGTTTATTCAACACATAGATCGATTCTATATTCAGTGAGGGTTTGATAAAGCATAGATCGTGATGTTATATACCCAGTGCGTGATAGATCAGGTTAGAAATTGTTTTCACATCGAGTGCGCCTTTGATCAATATTTTGATTTCATATCCAATGCCCAATTCTTCAATTCATATTTTGATAATATATTAGGTATGAAATTGGTTCCATTATTCAGTTTCAATTTGTTATCGATGCTCAATTTAATTCTATTCAAGGTGTCCTAAATTGGTTCTCTTCTACATTTTAAGTCAAGCAATAAATTAACTTAATTGTTGTCAATGAAACTTGGCAACCTTACATAAAGAAAGAAAAATATATATAATTTTTTTTTTAATATAAAATTAATAAAAATAATAATAAAGCTAGACGAATGACCCGGGCAAAATTTTTGATTACCAATCAAATTTTATACTTTAATGGAGAGTTTTATGGTTTATAAAAGGTAAAACCTATATTACACATTGTTTAGGCCTCTTTTGGGTGCAAGATTTTCACTTATGCTAAAATGGTAAACCAAACTCAATACTTCGCACACATATATATTTATAACCCAAGTTCCTGTAGATTTGGCAGACATTGGTTAATTTATGTAGAGCCAATATAATTTTGCGAGCCAACACAGATTTTAAATCCAATATTTTTCGGTATTCCACAAAATTCTGTTGTAATTTTTGTATTTAATTAATGAAAAGTTAATATAGTTAAGTTATACAAGTTTAGTACTTGTATATTTTGATATTAAGCAAAAAAATCTCTATCATGTTTTGCATGTGTTTCAAATTTGGTTGAAATTGATGCATTCTAACTAAATATTTTAGCAAAGCCCACTTAAGAAATTTCGCATATATCTATTCTATATCCATGTGCGTTTGATCAATACATAGATCGATTTTATTTCGTGTTCGCGTTTGGTGTGTGGGAATCAGATTTAAGAAATTCGCTTATAATAGGTACAGTAGTACCTCTATGAGAGGACACTCGCGCTAGAGGACACCTCTCTATAAAGGAGTTTTCATTTGCAAAATTATCATTTTTACTATTTAGCAACTCTCCGGTAAGAGGACACCTCTCCCTAAAGGACACTTTAGCTCTGTAATTAGGTGTCCTTTACAGGGAGGTAGTTCTACTGTTCCTCCTTAAATAAAAACACAATCCCAATTTAATTCGTTTCAGAATTTCACTTATTTGAATTTTATATGTTTTATGTTGCGCCTCATATAGATTTTATTTTACTCCATTTGAAATTTTCTGCATTTTGGTTAAATGAATATTCAACTTTGGTGTTTCTTACTTGATTATCCAACAAATTCATCCAAATAATCCAATATTTTAGAAACATGTGCAGGTTATCTAGACTGCTACTCGGCGCTGTAATATTATTTAGACTGATAGCTGGAAAGACAGGTGTGTTTAAAGGCTATTATGAAGAGAGATAAAAAAAAATGTAACAAAAGAAGAATCCTTGTACTAGGTATCATCATTAACACATATACAGTAAAACCTCCCTGTAAAGGACACCTAGTTGCAGAGCAAAAGTGTCCTTTATGAAGAGGTGTCCTCTTACCGGAGAGTTGCTACATGGTAAAAACGATCATTTTGACAATGAAAACTGTCCTTTATAGAGAGGTGTCCTCTAGCCAGGGTGTCCTCTCATGGAGGTTTTACTGTATAACTCACTTCCTGAAGAGTGAATAATGGCTTTGTAGGGAAAAAATAGATATATAAAAAGGTACACTATCTTTACTAATATAATTTCATTACAATGCTTTCACAATTTATTATTATCATTATTAATCATTATTGTTTTGAAGCAAGATTAACAAAAAGTGTAAACATCTCTAATGTATATATTTTTGTTTTGTCAAATTTTCTTGGCATCATTTATGCATGTTAATAAAATAAAGTAACATATAGGTATCCCAAGCTCCTGGAGCGTATCCATAGATCACCAACTATCCGATAAAATATAGGTAATTTGACCTTCATAAATAAAAGGTATATTGGTGGATGGATTTTCTTTATTTATCAAGAAAATGGTTTGGCGAAATATCAGGGAACAGGCTAAATCAACGTTTAGTGATTTCTGTTCCACTATATGGCGCTTTGCCATCTAAAAAGCTCATATGTGCGTAGTTAGGATATGCCTTTTTTGATTTTATAGAAGGTATATTGCAAAACTCTTTGGAAATATGTTTTTAGAACGACATTTGAAAATATCCCGCATGTTTTAAAATGGGATTTTTCAAATGTAGTTCTACAATCATAGGCCGCATTATATTGTATAATAAATATGTTTTATTGATTAGATATTAGTGTAATTACGATGCTCAAAACGTGCTAATTTTACTGCAGAAAAAGTGTATTTTATAACTCTTTTATGGCAGTATTTGCAACACTAATCCTGTTCATTTTATTTAGTCATTAAATATGTTGATTCTTATTTTCCTATAGCGCGCGCGCTTACCTTATAATACATAATTCAAGAAATTAGATCCTTTTGATTTCAGGTCTTTAGCACAATGTTGTGTGATTCATATACTGTTTCGTTAATAACATTGTAGAACAAAAAATATATTTTTCTTTGTTCCTCATTTCTAATTATGTTTTTCTTGTGTATTACGAGACACATGACACGTATGACACACACAATTGAAAAATAGCAATTTTACAATTCAAATCTCTGTTTTGAGTCTAGGACATCTGTTTATTTTTAAAATGCTGGAAATATCTTTATTTACGGGGCTGCTAGGCAAAATGGATGCTTTTTGAGCCCCCCCCCAAAAAAATAATAAAGCTTCCCGGCGGGGAATCGAACCCCGATCGCCCGCGTGACAGGAAGGAATACTAACCACTATACTACCGGGGAAAGGTAATAGCCTACAGCACCCGGTGTTCCCAGGTGGTCACCCTCCCAAGTACTGACCGGGCCCGACATTGCTTAACTTCGATGATCGAAGAATTTTAAAAATGCAAGAAGAATATAATAAAGGCCTAATAATGATGACAACTTATTTTTAAAAAAAAACGAAATTAAAATTAACATACTTCCCGTTGATGTATGCGTATGAAAATTTGCATACTTGCATTGTCATTAGGATTGAGCGAGTGTGCAAATTTTTATGTAGTCTGAAAGTATATTAAAAATATAGTAAAACATTCTGAAATTATTTTCTATCAAATATACCTTCTGACTAGCTAGAAGTCTGAAGTTTTGTACACTTGTATTTCTATCGAAATTGAGCAGGTGTGTGTACAAATCTTTAGCTTCAACGTGGTCTGGAAGTATGTCAATAACAGATTACAAAACTCCTGAACAGATATGTAACCAAATTAAATAAAAGCTGTTTAAAAATACGTCATATGCAGTTAAATATTATAAATAACCAATTGCATACCAATTACTTTAAACTTCGGGTGTGTGTCTAGGGCAGTGATTCTCAACCTTTTTTTTGTTGAGGCATTATTTTAAAGATTTGAAAATTTGGCGGCACAATTTTAGAATTTCGCGGCACACTTTTGCTAACTTGAATGCAAGAAAATTCAAATTATGTATCAATATTTCTATGCAAAATATAAGTAATATACATCTCTAACATTCAATTTGCTTATTTCGTTATTTTAAAAAGTAAAAAAATGAAAAAGAAAAAAAGAAAAACCAATACAAACGTGAACATAATCATATGACTAAAATTCGGCGGCACATTTTTAGAATTTCGCGGCACACAAAATTACCGCGGCACATTGGTTGAGAATCACTGGTCTAGGGCATCATTTAAAAAAAAAACGATTTGAGACGTTAAAGAACACAAGAAATTTATTTTTAAAATATATTTAAAACTTAGATTTAAAATTGTAAAAATAATTCTATTCACACATCAAAATTAACAAAATATTTAAATGCATTTTGGCGAGGTTTTCGATTATAATTTAAATTGTTTTCACGAATTTTTTTTAAATGTCATATATAGTCCCACATCATGTTCACATTGTACGAATCATTGTAAAGTGAAAAACGCCGCAATATCTTGGTGGAAGCGCTCATCTTGCTCTTTCGAGTATGCTCCATGTTGTCCTTGAATGTGTCGAGATGGGCGTCCAGTATATGAACTTTGAAGGACATTAAGCACTCCATGGCACCATAACAAGGGACCAGATTTTCAATCAATTCGACATGATTATCAGCCTTATCTAAGGCTATAATGCATCACTTAGACCCAACTTGACGTGGAGTGATGGCAATAAAATTGAGAGTTCTCTAATCGCTGCCACTTGGCGTTTCTTATCCCAACAGAGAAGTTGGAAGAATTTTTCTAGTTTTTTTTTCTTGTAATTACAAGAAGGTTTGTGATCTAAATATGATTTTTTGGATTTATATGTCCTTTTAGGTCATGAAAAATAGATGAAAAAATCAAATCTCAACTCTGAGTACTTTTCAAATTGAAATTGTGCATCACCGTCAGGCAAAAAGACAGACAGACATCGTATTTGTATAGATGATGATCCGGCTTCACCCGGGTTCTCCCGGGGTGAAGTTTGCCCAACGAAAATTCCTTTACAAATATCATTTATTATGATGGTATCTTATTATCACTCTGAAGTGAAATAATCTGAAAATTTGATATTTGAAAATGAAACCTAAAATGATTATAGTAATAATGGAACATTAATTGGATTCCTCATATCTAATAATAATGTTTTTTTTTTTTTTCAATTTAAAACGCTATGTCCCCCTAGCAAAATCGTGAAGCGTTCCATATATTTTAGGCAGTCTCTCACGAGAGGTTTTACTGTACAGGCCGTACACCACAACAAACTGGAGAATAAATAGGTCAATGTTTCAAATTATAGTGTGTGTGGAGAGAGAGATCGATAGAAAAATTTAATATCTAATATTTCTAAAAGCTCATAAATGTTTATGTTAATGACTATTAATTATATTTATAATGTTATAATTATAATAAATAACACATCTGTTAAAACAAAATTCGCTGTAAAACATTCAATAGCGTTGATCCCGGGCAAAACTGGGTCATTCAGAGGTAGTGTAAAAAATAACTATTATAATTATATAACTACAAAATATGCAAATGGTTTGTTTATTGTCTAATTTTAGTATTTGAATATCTTATATGTTAACCTTTATATTCAGCTACCTAAATGCAAAATTTTCCAATGGTTTATTCAGTAGTTAAGGGGAAGAAGAGTAACAAACATCAATTTATCTAGACAAGAATAGAATCAGTAAGGAAGTGAATGTTTGCCTCGAAAATATTTTAACAAATGCTCGTTAGGCAAACTTTCACTCTGGTAAAAAGGGAGCGAGAGCCGGGTACATTCCCTAGTTGTTTATAATAGATACGATGTCAAATATTAATAATAATATTTGTGAAATTTCGTATAAGCGCATTTTTTCTTTCTCGTGAATTTGTTCTCTATGTTTGAGATGATACGTTAGGCTCAGCTGTTAGACCTCGTTTCTATTAAGATCTTGAAGGACCTGTGATTTGCATATGGCGGATCTAATTGTGAGAACGGCCAAGATAAATATTTGCTGAACTCTTTAGTCCCTCGAATTCGACGTGTTCGGAATCTATGTGAGCTATAGTTGGACACTTGAAGATTGTTTGAGTTGGTGGCTTGAGATTGTTAGTTGAGACATGATGAAATTCAAAATTAAAACATTTATGAGCTTTTAAAATATTAGATATTAAATTTTTCTATCGATCCACACACTGTAATTTAACACATTGACCTATTTATTCTTCAGTTTGTTGCGGTGTACGGCCTGTACAGTAGAACCTCCCGTGAGAGACTGCCTAAAATACATGACACGCTTCACGATTTAGCGTGTCATCCTTGCGTAGGGTCCATGTTAACCTTTTTTGTATCGTTCCAATTTTAGTATATGTACCGCCGAACAAGCGTGTATGGAAACATGGATGTTTCTAGTCTTTACTAGAGGCTATCTCTTATTGGAGAACCAATTCAAACCAAGTCATATTTGATATTAAACAGATGGTTGCTCAGATGTATGCGCTCTTTAGAGATTTTGCTGTAGTAAGAAATGTAAAGTCAAATTGAGGTAATATGAGGGTATTTCGTTTAAATCTTGAATATCACTTTTAACATATTGTGACTGAAAATAACTAAATATTCATATTTAATGATAAATCATCCTAATTATTTTTCTAAAGATTAAAATGTATCATCATACACCATGTCCTTCACCTCCTTATTCATTTTTTACCATATCCCACGCGCGCCTCAGGAGCCTGTGGATTGACTAAATAAATAATTATTATCCCTAAAAATACTTTATAAATAAGTAATTTTAACTGGATACTTGTTTCATAGAGCTTTATATTTAAAAACTTCAAAAACTTCAGTAATTAGACGAATGGCTGGAGAAAATATGTAGTTAAACTTCGACATATATTAAATTATACGAAGATGATTCTGTCCCAAGCTTGAAAAGCCCTCGAATCTGTGACTCGCCTTCTAATCTCATAGCATCTCTTCTCCAGATGGCGTTCACTCCTACCGACGTAGACGAAATGGTTCCCCTCCTCACCATCTACCGCCAAGAAACCTGCAACGCTTCCATGAAAAAGAAGACTAAATCATTCAGACCTTCCAAGCCATGGTGGAACAGGGACATTACCCCGCAACATAGTTGTGATCCTTCAACGCTCTGCTAGCAGAGCGCATTCACATTTACATTGAGGGTTTTTTCAAATGACTATATATCGTGCCTGTCTTAACAACCTCAAGGCAGCCATTAGGTGAGCAAAACATCTCTCTTGGCTATCGCTTTGCCAGGAAGTTCCAGCGGCCGCGGGATTTTCCATCCCCGGCAGAGCTCGCAGGGCATCCAGAGAGTCACCATTTTACAAGCACAATGACCGTGCCCCGGCAAAATTTCCATCTATATTTTGGCCATATATTTGGCTTAGCCACTCTGTCAGCTAAACACCTCTTTGGCAGATTGTGAAGATCACATTTGAGTCCTTGTGGATCTCATGAGACGACTGGAGAAGACGGGGAAACACAGTCGATATAAATCAATGGACCGGACGACACAAGGAGATTAAGAGGATGGCGGAGGAAGTATGGAGAGACCATGTGGCCAGCCACCCTCAGTATAGGAAGGCATTGAAAGAGGAGGATCTCATGGAATAAACCTCGCTCTGTATTGACGAGGGCCATATCCCGAAACCATGGTCTCTGGGTGGTCGCTTCTCAGTTTGACAAAGCTGATTTTGTGACTTTGTCACCGACTCGAGACTGCTAGTTTGTGGCGATGGTCAATGGATGGAGTTAGTTTTTGATGGGAGAGGCGAACTTTGTTTTTATTGATCAATTTCCTCCCGGCTAATATTCGTCTATATTTAAGAATTAATTCCCTAACGCACTTTATATATGAAATAAAACTATCAGTCACGAATGCTTCTTTTAGTGTCCTTACTGCGATGATAAAGTTTGTTTTATGTGCAAGAGAAACATTCATTCTTGATATGTTTATTTCTTATATATAGATGGCACTTTATTGCCTTATAATTAAAATTTAGTGTCTTTAGAAGTTACGTTTTTTTTATTTACTCTTTCAAGGAAATATATATATAACCACACAATTCAACTCAACTATTGTATCTTGTTCAATTGAACCTATTATTTGGAATCTATTATTGAGGGTTTGCGTGCTTGTGTCAACTTTATATATTATCTTTTATGTCCGCTCAAAAAGAAAGAATTTCGCTATAAATCACTGGATAAATGGAAAGAGGAGGTCTTCAGAATTGAATGATATCTTAGGAAAAAGAAACAATATTTTTAATCAAAATTAGATTTGTATTTATTAGTGAAGAAATGTCTGTTTTATAAATTAGCCCAAACTAAAACATTTGCATTCAAAATGAAAATTGTGTGCAGAATTCTCCAATGGCCTCCGATTCTTGCAAAAGTACAACCCCACCAGCGAGTGCAAGTAA